CTATGGTATTCCGCCCCTAAGAAAAACGCTCAGGAGAGGACAGAAAGTGCCCTAAATTGTGCACTTAAACTACTAGCAAACTGGTGTGACAACAATGGAACGGTAATTAATACTGCAAAAACTGCATTCCAAACATTTTCTTTGGCCCATCACAGCATAAACCCGCTTTTAAGGTATAAGGATACTACCATAGAAAAAACCAATGAGCTCACATATCTCGGAATGACTTTTGACACAAAGCTAACGTGGAAAAGCCACATTGCTAAAATAGCAGAACGAGTCTCCAATAGACTGAATGTCCTGAAGCGTCTTGCTGGAAGCGTATTGGCTGTGCGTGCTCAACTCTCAGCACCACTTACAAGATGTTTATTCAGCCAATAATGTTGTATTGCTGTGAGCCACTCATTACAGCCACAGAAGTGACTCTCAAACCCCTCGAGAAGGCACACAACCAAGCATTACGACTAATTAGTGGAGGGATAAAATCAACACCTATTGATGCAATGCTCCGAGTTACAGGAAGCACCACAATAGGTTCCCTTATCAAAGAAAAGGCCTTGATCCTGTATGAGAAGCTCCTGATTGCAAGTAGCTCCACAAAATATCCGATTATCAAAGGGAAGTTTTTGATTCTGTATGAGATGCTACTGCGTATTCCCATGGATAATTTCTTCAGTACCTATGAGAATAGGTCAAGAGATCTGAAAACCCAATCTGGTCTATTAAAGAAAGCCATAGAAATGGAAAAAGCATTAAAATCTACGACAAACAAAAGCCTTCGTCTACCCATGAAACCATTGGCAGACACAGGTGTAGTGTTCTGTATCCAACTGCTTGATTACTTCAGGAAATTAAAAACTCCTACAGAACAAATGCGCTCACTGGCCCTTGAGACAATCAATGTCAACTATGCTGCAGATCACTAGCTCCTTGTCTTAACTGAAGACTCTTACATTGTAAACCATAGTAAACGTTGGTTCAGATGTCTACTCTGAACTCTTCTCTTTCTACGCAGCAGC